TCGCGCTGGCCAAGAGGATCATGGTCGTTCGAGCCGCCAAGGGGCGGCGTTGTTCAGGAGAGAACCCGTGGCTCTCGGCGGCGTGGCGCCTGCTCGCCCCGATTCTCGCCGACCCCGCGTGGCACCAGGTCCGCCTTGATCAGTGCGCGCTCAACCTTCGGAGCGCCGCAGGTGGGCTTCACCTGAAGCCCACCCGCATCGTGACGACCTCGGAGGACGTCGCCAAGACCCTCAATCTCCGCTGCAGCGGGAACCACGTGCACGACTTGGTGGAGGGCAAGGCAGTCACCAAGCGCAGCGAGACGTACTCGCAGGAGATGGCCGACTTGGTGGCCAGGACGGCAATGCGGCGGGCTCGGCGGGATCGCCAAGCGGGAGACGATGAGCAAGGCGGGGGGGGGGTCCAGATCAGCACGGTGATGAAGAGGCGCTTGGTGGCAGGATCGAGAAGTCAACGAGGGCAGGAGAGGTCATCATCGAGTGCGACTCGAAGGGAAGACCGGAGGATACTGCGGCCAGGGCCTACTACGATATTTTGCAGGACCACCAGGACTACGAGGAGGGCCAGGTCAAGGAGGTGGTAAGGCTAGGGGACGCGGTGCTGGAGGAGGCGGGGTCGCTCGAGAAGGCGATTGTCGCTCTGAGGGGGGTCTGGTGGGAGAGGCATGGCTACCACCTGAGGGGCATCTTCGACAAGAACTTGGAGCCGCTAGTAGGAGGCGCGCTGCTGGAGTATGCTCGGAAGGTGGCCAAGGAGGAGGCTAGGACGAGGTTTAGAGGCGCACCAGCACGCCTCAAGGCGCTGCCCCACCCCAGTGCGAAGGATCACCTTGACGAGGTGATGCACGCCCTCTGGAAAGACGCGGCGAAGGGCCGTGTCTTGCTGTGCACCGACGTCCATGAGCACCTGCTCAGCAAGGTTGTGAGCGCACCCATGGCGAGGGTACCCAAGCAGAACCCGGACCGCACCATGAGCGACAAGGGCCGCCTCATTTGGGACGGGACGGTGCCCAACCAGAGCTGCCCCAAGGAGGACCACCCGCCAGCGGACCAGCCGCGGCACGAGGACCTCGCCCGCATCATCATGTGGTGGAAGGCGCGCATGCCGGGCGTCGACATTGTGCTGGCCAGGAAGGACGTCAAGGACGCCATCAGGTGGGTGGTGATGCATGAGATGGACGCGTGCATCTTCGGCGCGGACCTCGAGGGGGGTAAGTGGGGTGTCGCGGCTCTGATCACGGCGATGCGAGGTGGGGCGACAGCGTCCCCTTTTCACAGCTCGTTCCTCATGGGCGATCAGGTGCTCGTCGAGCCCAACATTGGCACGAGGGCGGCTCAGAGCAGCGACGCCGAGTTGGAAGGGATCAGGGCATGCCTTGGCGACGAGGCGATCAACGAGGAGAAGGACCTCGAGGAGGGCGGCTGGGAGACGTCGAAGATCTGCTGGGGCCTCCTCTATCGCACCCGCGAGGGCACGATTGAGATGCCGGAGCCCAAGATCGAGAAGGCGGCCTATCTACTGGCGGATCCCACGCTGGACTACGGGCATCAGACCATACCTTGGAACTTCTTGGAGATTTACCGAGGCAACCAGCAGTATTGGTGCCTCGTCATGCCGGCCATGCGCTGCCTCGTGAGCGCGACCGACGCACTCATGCGGGGTCGCCCGCGGCGGCTCGCAGGGCCCAGGAGCGACGATCAGCAGGGGCACTTGGCGTGGACGGACTTCTGGCAGGCCGCCGAGGTGGCGCGCGTCTTGGCGGCGGATAGGACGAAGTGGAGCTCGCGCTCTGCGGGCGCGTTGCCGGGCGCCCTCTCCATTAACGAGAAGCTGGCGCTCCCCGGGTGGCAGTGCCGCGTGATATGGGTCACCGGCGACGCCGCTCCGCAGAGGATCGCCACGGTCGATTGGGTTAACGCGAAGTGCGCGGTCCACGCCGTGCCTGAGTTCATGCAGGCGCTGCGGGAGGCGGTCGGCGTAGAGGAGGATGAGGAGGCCATCATCGCGATCGCGGAGTTCATGAACCTCGTGACGTTTGCGGCCAAGGCAGGAGCGGAAGGCTGGTGGGAGCGCGGAGTAGTGATGCACGGCGGGGACAACAACAACGTACACTGCTGGCTGCAGAACCGCCGTGCGAAGAACCGGCACGCCAGCTTCCCGATTACGGTGGCCACGTGCCTCGAGGCGGTCTACGGCTACGAGGTCGCGAGCGCCTACTTCCGCACGTACCACAATGTCACCGCGGACACCTTCTCCAGGGTCGAGGACGAGGAGGCAGTGGAGCTGGCCAGGTCGAGGGGTCTGGAGGTCGTCGACTTGCGGGACAGCTGGGCCGAGCACCTCGAGCGTGGCTGGCTCCACCGGGCGCTGGTCTGGGAGGGCCAGAGCGACGCAGACGCCAGGGTCGCGAAGCAGCTGGCCGTTGCTCGACGCGAGCCGCATCGTCCGCGGACCCTTCAAATGAGGCCAGGGCGGGCGGTGACCCTCGTCGAGTGGCGAGGCGCCACGGGTGCCTTGTGTAAAGCAGGGGCCCGCCGCGGCGCGGTCGCTTGGATGCTTGCAGCTCCTGGAGCCCCAGGGGCAGGACATACCGTGTGGCCCCCCGCCGTGGCAGAATGGAACGCCCGAGGCCCTGGGCATGCCTATGTGGTGGCCGCCAGCCTGACCAACGATGACGGTGAGGAGGCGAGGCGCTGGTCGGAGTTCGTCGTCCAGGTGAGGGCGGAGATTGCGATCGCGGACGCGCCAGGCCCAGCCGACCTAGGCCCCGCGCTACAGAGGCTGAGAGGCGTGGGCTACAGCTGGGAGGAGGTGGAAGTGTGCTGCCCCAGGTTGGGTGACCCGATCGCGAAGCAGCGCAGGGTGGTCCTAGCGGTCCGAGGTGGAGGTGAAGCGATGAGTTTAGGCCAGGAGTCTGTGGGGCCTCAGAGCGTCAGGTCGTGCGTCGGTAAGCTCAGCCAGGGCGTCATCAGTTTCAGCGGCGAGGACGGCGAGCTGGTCCTGGACCCGCGCATCCCCAAGAGGGGGGGCCCAGACGGCGCGCGACCCTGCCGCCATTGGCACCCCAAGGGGGGGGCGCCAAGGAACTGGTGCATTCGTCGGAAGGTCCGTCGCCGAGCATTCGGAGCGCGGCGTTGGCAGGGAGGCCCGGAGACCGTGTCCTGTTCCACGATGCTCGGAACCGTCTCCCAGGGGTCTGGCAGCTAGGAGGTGAGGAGATCTGGAAGCTCACAGGAGGCGCACCGGCGATCTTTCGGCGGGCAGTTGAGGAGGGCACGGAGACCAACGACCTCGTGGCCTGGGGCATCCGGGCAGCCACTCCCCAGCTCGCGGACGCCATGGTCGAGGAGGCACTGTTCCAACTGGAGTGCGCCCGGCAGCGGCAGGACATGGGCAAGGCGGGGGCTTGCTCGCTGGCGAGGGAGGATGCGCAGTGGGAGCGGCTGCAGACGTGGCTGCGTGCGTGTCGCGAGTGCCCGAGCGACCCGGGAGGTCGGGTGGCGGCGCTCAGGAGGGAGAAACTCCCGACCAAGTGCGGCATGGTCCCGGACGAGGACAACGGGCTGGGCCAGAGGCGGGCGCAGAGCCTGCTCGACGACCCCTACCCAGACGTGCTTCTTCTGCGCGTGGGGCGTGACCCGGATGGAGGGCCGCAGTGCTGGAACGTGTGCGGGAGGAGTTGCGCTCGCTTTGATCATGGCTGGGGCTGGTACTGCTGTCGGACGTGCCGTAACACGGATGGCGAAGCCCATGGGCCTTACTGTCAGGCCCAACACGAGGACCTCCAGAGGAGGCAGAGGGAGGCGGGCCATCACCCACCGGCGAGCGAGGAGGCGAGTGGCAGCGGTGGTCTTGGAGCCCAGGCAGCAGGCGAGGAGGCGCCGGCCACGCCGCCACCGCTGGAGCCGCAGTCGGGGTGGGCGCCGCCAGCGCCCGAAGAAGTGGTGGGAGTGAGGTCGCCGTCCCGTCCTCCCCTTCGCGGCAGGTCGCCGCCCCTGCTATCGCGAGGGGGGATCTGGGGAGGTGATGAGCCCCCGCCAGTACCCTTCCCAGGAGGCGACCTGGACGCCCGATACGAGTGGTGCGAGTACTGCGGCGTGCAGGGCGAGGGCCGAGATGCGGGCTGCTCGATGTGCCATTAGGCTTACCCTATCTCGATGGCACGGGATCGGGCGCTGGCGGCGCGGAGGGCAGCCGAGGCAGAGGGCGCGGCGGCGATAGCAGCCCGAGCGGTGCCGCCGCCGTTCAGGGCGCTGCCCAGCGACGCCCAGCTTGGCGATCCGACCCCCCCGAGCGGGCCAGACAGGCACGCCGGGACCGTCGACGACGACGAGCGATGGGGAAGCTGGACCCCGCAGGGCCGGGACGCCCCCACCCCGGGGGGCGCCGGCGCGGCCGGCGCGGCGGGAGTGAGGCCCGCCCAGGCGCCCGTCCAGGGAGGGGGGCAGGTCAGGAATCTGGCCCCCTGCCTCAATCCGGGGTGCCCCTACTTGGAGCACAGCGCCCCGGCGAGGCCATGGAAGCCAGGCTACTGCTGCGACAAGTGCGGCGGCCGCCATTGTGAGCAGGATTGGGCCGAGGGAGGCGTCAAGCACTACAAGTACTGCGAGAAGATGCCCCATGGCCGCGAGGAGGAGCAGCAGCCAGGAGACGGGGGCGGAGGAGGCGGTAGGAGCCGCAAGAAGAAACAGAAAAATAAGCAAGCCGCCCTGGAGGAGCCTGCCGAGCCGTCGCACGGCCCTCCGGCCCGCGGAGGGGCCTTGGGTCGGGCCAGGGTCCTGGCAGCGCTCCACGGTGATGTTGAAGAGGAGGAATCGTCGCCCGAGTGCCCACCTCCCTCGCCACGTGAGCTCAGGAGGAGGAAGAGGGATGCAGAGGCAGAGGCCCGCAAGAACGAGCCACGCATCAAGCTCGTTGCGAGGATGCTGCCAACTGAGGTGAAGGAGGAGGTGAAGTCGGAGGGCGAGGGCTCGAAGACGGCTGCGGCTTCGTCGTCGAGGCAAGATGCGAGCGGCAGGGGCGGCCAAGGAGCTGATCCAGAGGCGGCGGGGCGCAGGTGCAAGGAGCTGTCTGACCGCGTGGAGAGCCGGCGCGCCATCGGGAAGAGTGCGACGAACCAGGAGTACCGCCGCCTCTTGGACCACGCAGCGCACGCTCTAGCGCGGGCTCAGGAGCTGCGGCCGCAGGTGCTTGAGGAGGGGCGCGGCGGAACCGCCACGCCCGATGGGCAGGAGCGGTCCAGGTCGTCGGAGGAGAGGAGGTGCCCAGCGAGCCCGGTGAGGAAGGTTCGTTCAGTACCCCCTCGGCCTACACGGGGTGCAGGAGCGTCGAGTGCCCGCGCCAGGGAGCCCTTGCCGATGCCGTCGCCGAGGGAGAGAACGGTCTCCCGTAGCCCGCCTCGGCGCAGTGCCACCCCTGAGGACGAGGCAGGTGACGGCGACACCGCGAGCCCTGTGGATTCGGAGCTGCGGGCGGAATCGAAGGAAGTCGATGTGAGCGCGAGCAGCGAGGCCAGGATGGCGGCGCTGAGGGCCCGGGCCATCCAGATCAAGCGCGACGAGGACGTCGCGGCGGAGGAGGCTAGGAGGAGCGAAGCGAGGCAGAGGGCGGGGGCGCCCCTGGAGGGCCTCGGCCGAGGACCGCCCAGGTCTGAGCGATCCCTATCGCCAGGGCCATCGGCGCCGCGCTCACCGCCGCTCCGCACATCGCGGCCGGGCGAGGCGGAGGAGCGCCCGGCCCACGTGCTGCTGCCCGGCGAGGACGTCGAGATTGACGCGCGGGCGGTCGCGCGCTACCTGGCGGACAGGCGGAGCTCTAGCAGCGCGGGCCCAGGTGAGGAAAGAGTGTACGCCCACCTCGAAGCCATGGTACGCGGGGCCATACAGGGCTCGGGTCGCCGTGACGACCGAGGCGGGGACCGCGGGCGGGGCAGCAGTGGAGGAGACGACCGTAGGAGCGGGTGTCTCGAGCAGGCGAAGGCCGAGGAGGAGCTCGAGGCGCTGGTGAGGACGTGGGGCTACCCCGAGCAGAGGGGGGGTGGCTCGACTGGGCCCTGGCAGCCATGGGCGCGGGCGGGGGGCACGCCCGTAGAGCAGGAGCTACCTCGCATAGGAGCAAGAAGGGGAGCAAAAATGTTCGCGGCCCGTGCGAGAACAGGCCGCCCAACCTCCTCGGACCGGAGGCGGTTCGAGCGAGCGCCCGCCCGGAGGACCTCACTTTGACGGACCTCAAGACGCGCGAGGACTGAGAGAAAGCTAAACTCGAGCTCATCCTCGATAAGCTGGCCAGGTCCACGATCAAGTCGTACAGCAGTGGCTGGAGGTGGTGGACTCTCTTCTGCCGCGCGAGGGGAATCAGCCCGCTTCGCGAGATCACGCCCGAGAGTAGGAGGAAAGAAGAGGAGCTGTTGCTGGAGTTCGTCATCCACCTGGCGCGCCGAGGCTGCAAGAAGGCGGGCACCATCAAGCAGTGCCTGAGCTCGGTCCGGGCCCAGCACCTCGAGGGCGCCTGGCATAGGGGACATCGCGGAGGGCGCGGGGTGGCAAGGGTCTTCGGGGAGCTGACGTCACCCCAAAGGCGAACGGCGAGCCGA